TGACCGGACTCTGAGCCAGCGTCCGGTCACTCCGGAGCCAGCGTCCGATCAGTATTTGACCCTCCATTCACTTCCAACTCTCGATCATACGTGAATGAAGTTTGCTTCATTGGATCTAAGGGCTATTTTGGAGCTATCTAGTGCTAGATTTAGCAAGTGTGCACCACACCTAACTCACTAGAATCACCTAGGTCAAGCTACCCGTCCATACCCCCCTTAATAGTACGGCCAAAAGAAAAACAAAGTCCTAAACTACTCTAAGTGTCTCTTCAACTCCAATCGACATTTAGAACTAGTCCATCCTTAACCTTGTCGTCCATCCTTTGAAAACCGAAACAATTTCCATCGTAGGGGCATGATAACCGTAATTGTCCAATCGATCTCCATTACCATGACCTAACTTAATTGCCTCTGTAAAACACACGTTAGTCATAGTAATCGCGTATTGTCATTAATCACTGAAACCCAACTAGGGGCCTAGATGCTTTCACACTCCTAGCTTGTACTGTGCCTGCCTGCCGTGCTTCAGCTTCCTCTTCGCTTTGGTCGTTCCACCTAGGCTGTTGTTGTTGCTGCAGTCGTCATCTTCTTCGCAGCGACTACCTGGTCGCTTGCGGATGCTGTCGTCTTTCTCTTCGCAGCGGCTACTTGGTCGCTTGCGGATACTGTGATCGTCCTCTTCGCAGCGGCTACCTGGTCGCTTGCGGATAGTGTCGTCTTCTTCTTCGCAGCGGCTACCCGATCGCTTGCGGATGTGCTGGGCTTTCTACCGGTGGATGCTTTTGCCACCACGGCTTCACCCCTCTGTTAGCGACCATTGCGCGGATGTATTTTTCTTTTGCAGGCATACTCGGTTGGTGCTTGGGGTGGAGGTTCCCCCTCGTGTTTTCTTACTGTTCGTTTGTGTCTTCCGGATTCCGCAGGTGATCTTAGGGTTACTTGTGAGCCCTTTGTAACCATTTTTTTGGCCTTTCTTTTGGCCATTCTTTTTAATGAAAAACGGGTAAAAGACCCGACCATGAAAAAAAATTGTTGCAAAACAGTAGTAGTGGCCATAGTTTATTTCAAGATTCCAAAAGTTACTTGCGCTGGTTTAGACCACTTGGATTGGTTTTATTGTAGTAACATATTCAGCGGTTTTGCTATGATTCCCTAATTCCTTACAAACTTCCTATAGTAACTGGGTAAGTCCAAGAATTCCCCTCAAGTCACTGAAATTTGTAGGAACAGGTGCCCTGAGCAAAGCATCGATCTTTGCTGGATCAACTTCCACATCTTTTTTTGAATAATATAATGTAGCCTCAGTATTCCAACTTATTTGAGCAAATGGTGCATTAGCTTTACTTGGCCACCATTTTGTGTTTCTATAAGATGTGATATATCAGTTTGAGTTTGAGATGCTTTTTATGAGGGAACAACATACAAGGTAGGACTGTAAATGAAAATACTTACCATCTATCAATATCAATAGAAGCTTCCTTATAATATGGCCCAAAAATAGAGTTCATTAGACACTGAAATGTGGTTGGGGGTATAGCCGCATAGGTCAATCCAGAAGACATGACTCTGAATTGGAAATGGCCATGGGTGTTTTAAATGTTGTCTTGAACTCATCTGTAGGCAGCATTCTGATTTGGTAAAATCCAAACTTCATATCCAATTTTGCAAAGTACTCTGCACCAACCAATTCATCAATCACAGGCATAGATAACATCATTAAGCTTCATGTAATCAATGCAAAACTACCGAGTCCCATCTTTGTTTTTGACCAAGAGTACTGGGATGCAAATGAACTATGGCTCTGTGTAATTAACTCAGCATCCAACATTTCTTTGACTTGACGCTCTAAGGAAGGTTGCCAATGTCCTGATCCATCGCTTTGCTGGGGTTTTAAGAATTTGAGTTATATATATACAAATCTGACTTAAGCAATTTGTTGCTCAAAGACAATGATATCAGTGGAGTAGCCTGCTACTTGAAAATTATAAATTTGAATTTACACTTAAGGCATGTTTGTTTGAGCTACAGCTTTTGGCTTTTAATTTTACTTAAAAGCTACTTTTTTTTGCTGTTGGATTTTTCCAGCACACCAAAAACCAGAAGAGCTGCTCAAACGTGCTTCTTAGGTTGTTTGTTTCAGCTTTTGGCTTTTGACTGACATAAGTCAGATAAAACTGAAACAAACATGCCCTTAACCATGTAGTGTTTCTATTCAACACATCGAGTAACAAAAGCCTAGCTATTCACTTGGGAGATGCCCCCTTTTCATCTTTTTATGTGCAGTCATAATTCCTTTCGAACTTACTGCAGTGCTTCCATAATTTTCTCTTATCTTAAAATTAGATCATCAGAGCCGAACTCTTTTGAAGGTCTGCACTCTCTTTTCCTTGGAAAGAGAACATGTATCTTGTCTCGACTCCAATGGGCTGTTTTGGTGGCGGGAAACAGTGCCAGATTGTCAGGGCAGTGAAACGTGATTCTCATCTCATCGCTTTTCTATTTCTCCTTGATTCTTTAGTTATAATTCTTTTATCGCAACATGTTAAAATAAAATAGTATTTAAGTTATTCTTGTCCAAAAAAGTTTTTATTTTTACGGCCTTTTTTTGTTTATATCTTTTTTTTTAAAACTCATGCATCAGAAAGTAGTCTATCAGCTAAATGGTTTTTTCAAGTGATTTAAAAAGGATCTAGATCCATAAGGTTCTACAAGAATCTAGATGTCTGACAAACACATCTTAATCACGTAGCTTTGCTTGTATGAATGCTCCTCTCAAGCGTGAGTGGTCGAACTCTGACCTCAAACTTATCAGCGCGAAAAATAAATAAAGGATTTCTATCATAACCATAAAAATCAAGAGGGAATTTCCTGTGTGCCATTATAAAAGATCGCAATGCGCTGTGTGCCCTTGGAAAAGTTCAGCGGTCTTCAGCGCTACTACTCCAACTTTTTCGTGTCCTCCATGCCACTTCCGTCAGTTTGGGCTCTAACGTCGTCAAACTGCAGGTGTGAAAAGACGAAAATACCCTTAAGTCTAAATATATAATTAATTTTTTTGAGCATCTTAATGACTTCAAATGAAAAAACTTAAAACTAGAAAGTTGTAGATCTCGTCGAGATCTATAATTTTCATATAAAAATTATTTTCATTTAATTTCATAAAAAAATATGATTTGATATGATTAATATATCTTAGAAAAATAATTTTTTTTCCAGGGAAGTGGCATGGAGGACACGAAAAAGTTAGAGTAGTGGCGCTGAAGACCGCTGAACTTTTTCAGAGACACACAGGGCATTGCGATCTTTTATAATGGCACACAAGAAATTTCCCCAAAAATCAACGGCTAAGTTATTCTACACAAGCCTAGAGGGAGTATTTAGGACCGTAAAATTGAGACTCTCTTTTTATTTTAATTTTTTTAAAAAGAGCACACACTGCAGTCTATATTACTTGATCTCGTAAAGAGAAGTTCCACGAGTACCTTATGTTTATACACGGGTTTTCACCAGAAATTTTGTCTTTTCTAAAACGATAATGATACGCCACATGCATCCGCCCGTCGGACGCGGCTCCTAGACCTGCCCAGCGGACCAGCCCCAACCTCTCTTAAAAACAAAAAAAGAAATATCCCCACTCCACCCATCCGCCCGCCCCAATTCGCCCCGCCCCCTTCCCCCACCGCGCCGCACCCCATCGCTGGCCGTGCCTCGACTCATCCCCCGCGAGCGGACAGCGCTGGAGTAGCAATTGTAGGGTCACGAGCAGGTGCGGGCAAATTGCAAGAGGAGCGACAGGCCACGACGACGGAAGTGAGCGCGCGGAGCGACGTCGCCCTAACGCGAGTTTGCTTACTATCGTAGTTCCCCAATAGGTAGGTTGTGGCTGCCGACGACACCGTGTTTCAAATGTTTTAGGCGTTTTATATTTATGTTTTAAGTGTTTCATATTGATATTGCAAAAGTATACCTGAGATATTGCATAGGTTGCAATGACAATATATGTATATTTTCAAGTGTTTCAGGTGTTTCAGACGTGTGTTTGAAGTGTTTTATTTGAATGTTGCATAGGTTGCTACGGCTATATAAGCACGTTTCAAGTGTATATGTTTCATATGTTTGGGACTTATGTTGCATTTATTTCATATGGATGTTGTAAAAATAGATCTGGATGTTGTATATGTTGCTATGGCTATACACGTATGTTTTAAAAGTATGTTTCAAGTGTTTGATCTGTTTTAGACGTATGTTGCAAATAGTTCATCTGTATATTTTAAAAGTAGATCGGACGTTGCACATATTGCAATGGATGCTGATGGCTGGCGGATAGCGGCCTGCCGTAGTCATTTGATGTTACTGTTAGGGCGCCGCCGTGGTTGACATGTGGACGCCTGGGGCCAACAGACGCCTCTGCAGTGCGCATCTGTAGGCGGGGCAGCGAACTTGGGACCCATGTGTTTTTCCCACGCAGGCGCGAGATGGGCAGGGGGCGCGCTTCGAACGCTGGCGCCTGATGCGGGCGAGCATGGGATGCGATGCGAGATGCGGAAGCTGCGTCTGGACACGTCCTATAGCCAGATGTCCGGCTGATAGCCCTTTTGTTGCAAGTATCCGATTACGGCTGACGAAAACGACAGTAATAAATAAATAAATATAAACAAAATAAATAAATAAAAAGGGCTAGTATGTTCACTCGCGAGGCCGCGAGTCAGACACGGACAGGGCGGCGCTGATGCCAAACAGGTGGAGCCGTGGAGGTCTTCTTGGAGACTTGGACAGCGTACGCCATAGGACACTGAGCCAGATTAGGGATTATTGCGCGCCTACAAATTTCGGGCGCCGCAGGACGGGGCATCCAAACAGCGCCTTGCAGTTGCAGGTTGCCCGCAAGTTTCGCCACTACGCACGTTCGCGACGAATCAATCAAGCAATCGCGCTCCGTTTCGTCGGGCCGGGGATCCCGTCGCAGTGATAAGGGGGAGAAGCAACCGTCAATAGCTCTGATGGAGAAGGAGAAGGACACCGTCGGCGTGTCGGTCCACGGCGACGGCGGTCGTCCGCCGCTCGGCTCCAAGCCGTTGCTAGTGTACGACCACGGATTTGACCCCAACGGCCGGCAGACGGCGGTCAGCATCGCCGACATGAGCGTGCACACCCATGTCGTGCCAGAGCTGTCGGAAAACAACTTCCATGTCACCCCTCACGGCTGGGTGTTCCTCAACGGTTTGGGATCGCTGCGTGCCCGGCTCTGGGACCCCCTGTCCGGCGAGAGTCTTGCCCTGCCGGACATGGAGCACGACCTGCCCGTCCACTGGAAGTGCTATCTGTCTGACGTGCCCACCGCGCCGTCCTGCGTAGTGCTCCTGCTGTACATCACCGAGCCCAAGTTCCTGTATTGCCGTGTCGGGGACACCCATTGGATCACGCACGAGTACGACGTCGGCGATGTGAACCTGCCACCCTCGTACGCGCCGCCCAGGAGGAGAGTCATCCAGCAGGCTGGCGCGGTCGGCGGCAAGTTTTACATCCTTGAGAAGGGAAAGCTGGGCTTCCTCGACTTCTCGCCGGCGCCGGAGTTCAGCTACCACGACTACACACCTCCTGTGCCAGAGCCCGTGGACGGCTCGAATTGCTGCAGGTCACACGTGGCGGCGTCCGGCGGCGAGCTGTTCGTAGTCCGGATCTACCATAAGGGATTCACCCCCGAGATCCTCACGGTGCGCGTGTACAAGTTCGACGACTTGGCAGGGCCGACGACGACGCTGCGCGAGGTGGCCGATCTGGGCGACAAGGTGCTCCTCCTAAGCGACTCAAATCAGCTGCTGCTCAAGTCGGCGAGCAAGTACGGACTGAAGGGGAACCGCATCTACTTCATGCACAATGTGCTCGAGGAGCCGGATGGCGGGTTGCTGCACGTCTTCGACCTGGATAACCAAAGCCTGGACACAATGCGTCCTTGCCAAGATATGACGGAGCTCATGTGCTGTCCCTTTTGGATGTTGCCCACTGATCATGACAGTGCACAGGAAGTAGAGAACTAATTAATTAGGGTACGTAGTGGCTATTTTCTTTTTCTTTGCAGTTAGATAAGCGTTTCATCAACTAGCAACAGATTAAATTGTTTTTATGCCTATATACTATATATATAAGTCATTTGTCTTTGTTTAGACTAGTAGAAAATATATTCGTGCGTTACTACGGGAGACAAGGGTGATCCGACGCAGACAAATATAGATTTCGGTTGTAGCAGCCTCGAAGTGCACATGCTTTCCAATGTTTTGTTGCTTAAAAATCACTAACTTAAGCGAATAAGTGAAAGATTTAACACACTTATCTTCTTAAAACGGTAGACATCTTGAATGCCTTAATGCCAAATAAGCAAGCAAAAGTAATCAACAAGGCCAGGTAGTGCGTCCTTTTCAGTTGTCCTCCTGCGTCCTTTTCAGTTGTCCTCCTGCGTCCTTTTCAGTTGTCCTAGAGAATTTTCTAACTACATAAAGATTCAGTCAGACAACTACCAGTGAAATCTGTTAATGGAGAGTGGTCTTATTCAAATTCAAAACACTTCGTAACCTACAACCAATTATGTGCTTCAATATAGAGTAAGCGCTATAGCTTGTTTGCAATACTCAATAGCTTGACCGAACCAAGCTTTCACAATTTTCCAAATCACCCTATAGAATGGTATGTTCTCCTCTCATACGCTCAGAAATTGCTATCTTAATTTCTCCTATCTTAACTGAATTCAATTTCTCAAAAATCAATCCGATTTTCAGTCGGTATCTTGTTACTTGCTATATGATAAAAGCCATTGATCTCTGTGAAGAAGAAATCAGACATTCAACACATGACAAATGTGACTAACATACAACCTATGTTGTAACCGACAATGTAACGACCCATGTTCATCACTTCATGTGTGTTTTGGACTAGTTTATGGCATGACCAATATTTGTGTGGTTGATCATAGAATTTGACGTAATAACCATAAATAATAACCACACTCTGGCTTCATTATTCAACAAGGCTCTGTCCAACTAAAGCACAGGATGCATCGAGAAAAGTCACTAGAAAAGGCAATGGAAGACTCTAGATAAAATAATGTATTTTCTATATCAGATTTATTTTTCTAATTTGAGAACGTATTATGCTGAGTTTCAATATACTAGGAATTGACCTGTGCATTGCTACAGGCAACAAAAACCATTCTGCATCATTTTTCAAATGAGAACTGTACAACCAAATAAAAATTGTTCATGACATTGATAATAGAAATCTAGCAACCTTTTGTTTCAAATATCTCATCACACATATGCCCTTAGAGCATCTCCGATAGTTGTAAAAAGTATTCAAGTGGATAAAAAACTATTGGAAGCGTATTTGTTAGGTTCTTCCGATAGTTTTCAAAACGTGGCTTCTAAATATAGAAGACAATTTTGCATCAAAAATCCCCAATCACCCTCATCACTTTCATACTTTCTTTCTCTCACGTATGTTTGCGTCAAAGCATCTAAAAAGTCTTTCTAAATCTCACTTTCTAAATCATGATTTATAGAGATTTGCATAAAAATCGCATTCTATGTTTTTTTCACTCTCCAACAGTTTTTCTATATCTTGCGTGCACTGTAGAGAGTCATTCTCGTTTCTTTTTTTTTTTCTGGCGAGAAATCTAGAATAGAAGATGGCTATATTTGGATAACCATTTAAAGAAGCTGCCGCAGAGTATTTTTTTTCATCAAAATCTCTATTCCTAGCAATTATGAAAGATCAATGTTTTCAAGTCGTCCGATTAATCGTGATTAATCACGATTAATCGTCCTAATCGGTCCCTGCTGACTGATTAGGGGTACCGTCGACTTGTACAAGTCGTCCGATTAATCGCGATTAATCGTGATTAATCGTCCTAGTCGGTCCCATGGCGACTAGGTTCGACTGGACGACTTGAAAACATTGTGAAAGATATAGAGTCTTTTAGAGTTTAGGAACCCTATCCTAGTCATTATTCTCCACATCCTTCCACCTCTAGATTGGTGATCGATACGCGCACGTATATTTCCTCATGATGCGTTTGATTTTCCCAAGTGCGAAAACATTGGGAGTTGAGGTAACAGTTGTTGGAGAGCAGTTTTTTTCAACCCTGCCAAAAAAAATCAAGATTGGGAGTGGGTTTTCAAAACTCTTGGAGATGCTCTTAGTTGCAACTTGAGGCATAGCAGCATCGCCAAACAACACAATATAAGACTGTCATACCTTGGAATCTAGAATCTTAGACGAATCATATTATTGTATACAAAATAAAATTAGTAAAGGAAAAAAATAAAATATAGCTGCATAACCTTCAGAGAAAACAAAAATATCGTGCAATGATCTGCATAATTTGTTGCAAGCCAACTAGCCAAGCATAGACAACTTCATCAGATTCTGTAAAAAAGTTACCAGCAAGTCGTTTTGTCAATCAAAAGAAAAAAAAAACGTCTATTAAACCCCCAATGAAATATCTCGGAACTGGAAAGAACAACCAAATAGTGATGGTACTTGGGAGTTGGCACTACACTACATTACATATTTCAGCCAGTCATTTCACTTTTCAAAAAAAAAGAAAAAGCCAGTCGTTTCCAAATTCATCGACACATAGTTATCGCAACAAAAACTTAGCAGCAGTTGCACTTTCTGTCTACATACGCACCTGAAATTAGGTAGGTTTTCCTCCAGTTCAGAGCGCTATTCGTTATTTAATTGAAACATTTAGTCCTCATTCAAAATGCAACCAGCCACTGACCATTAAAGCTAATGGCAAGGGGTGTGGCAGTACCTGAGATTACCTTGGCCCACGCTTCCTAAAACAGGAACATAGAGACCCAGAGTCCCAGAGAACGCACCTAAAGGTCAAAGTGTGGAAAACTGTTGTCACATTGTTCAATCTTGATCATTAAAATAGAAGAAGCGTATCAAAGTTTCTTTAGTCAGGTTGCCATGCTAACTGGTGCCACTTGTGTCACTACGTTGCCAGGACCACTGAGTTGAGCCCATATTAATATCTCCAAGTGTTCTAACAAAATATTTAGAGCACAATTCGACAGAACAAAAGCCATATCCAAAACTAAGAGGCATGCTATGCTACATGTGGCAAGAAGGGAAACTGAGTGAGAACACAAGTAACCTCTGTGCGAGCTCCAGAATTTGATTGAATGGAATTTAGAGTTCAGTTGTCCTTTCCAGAAATTAGACCCACCTGAAAAAAGAACAGAACTTATCAGGAAACTAAAAGACGTGAAACAGACAACAGGAATCCCTTAGTCAAATAGTGCACCTTATCATTGGCAACTTTTATCTCAAGTCGCCCATTACTTTGGTGTGGTGCGTTGCATTGCATTTCTAAGCAGATTTACATGCAGATGAATCATCATCAACCTGCATATGTTATATGGCAAACATGAGTGATGTAAAGGATGCACAACTAAAGAAATAATGAGCATATAAAAGGTATCCTCAAATATAATGTCATCGATGAACTGATCAGTTTTTCTTACCAGCTCAGAGGCACTTGAAAGCTCAACTGGGTGCCTTTTTTCGTGGCTGAAGTTGGAGAGGGCTAATAGCCTCCCCTGATGTTTTGGTTATAATACCAGCCTGTAACAAGTCAACTATGTCCCAATCAGAATATATGGAGCAACCAATATCATACTTCCCTTGACATTCCATCATCTTTAAAATTCAGTGACAGAAAAATCTGGTGTATGTGATTTCAATCTTTTTGTTAGCATCCTCATATCCACCATTTGTGGCCTTGTGGAGCAGTAAGCAGATACATATTGAGAAAATAATTGTGGGGTATTAGCCCCATGCTCAGAAAAATAAACAACCATTATTGAAACCAGTGTAGCAGTGCTATTTTTCGCCAAGTTAAGATAGCCTGCACCCGTGTCAGATCCAGACACCCCTGCCAAATTCCGAAAATGGACATATCAAGAACTTGTGTACTATTATTAAGGCTTCATATCAAAAACTTGTGTACTACATAAGTCCAGGTTTTTATATTTCCATGTGTATGTCTCAAAAAGCCCTGTTCACCTCAAGCATATAGCTAGTTGCAGTACATAGGTACTACCATGGACACACATCAATCAGAGATTCCATATACATACACTTCCTATTTTCAGTCTAATAACAAATATATCCTATTTGGTTAAAAAACAAATATATCCTGTATTTTTTGTACATAGGAGTAGTGTCTTTCAGCTTGTAGGCAGGCAAGGCAACAAGCTGCTAAGCTCAGTGCAGCATCAGTTGATCGTTAATTTCTTAAGAAATAAAAACAATAAACACTCTTCATTGAAACCCAATTTTCACACTGGGGCACAAGGAAAAGGTACAGGCTACCAAATCTCTACTCCTAGATTTCAGATCGTAATGTACTGAACCAAGAATGTACAGATCATAATTGCTTGGTTAAGTTCTCCGGAAGTGGGACTAGTAGATCATAATTTTCACCTGGAACTGGAACTCTGGGAGTGAACTATTAGATCGTAATTTTCACCTGGAACTGAAAGTGGCTAAATTCACTTGATCTATTAGCTTCATCAGATCGCTGTAACTGAGCCAAGAATGTACAGATCGTAATTGTTTGGCTAAATTAAGACACAACTATGGACAAAACAACAAGAACCCAAGAATAAGCTCGATCAGTGTCGTACTGAAATATGGAACATGAGAGATTGATTCTGCACATCCTCCATTACCTAGAAAAGGGGAGATGTCAATGTACTGGAGCAGACACAGCACTGCAGCAGGTCAGCGTTGACGGCCTCAGCTGACCGGGTGCCTCGGCAGCTGGAACAGGCGGACGCGCCCTTCTTCTTCTTGTTGTTCTCACACCCACGCGACCATCACCACTCAATCAGCGCAGAACGCCGCCAGGCATGGAGATCAGGGGAGACAAGATCCTTACCTGATAGGAGAGGGCTGGTGCAGCGGAAGGCGGCGGCCACCGAGAACAGCAGGGTGGCGCGACCTGCAGAGGAGGGGGCGCGGCCTTGTAGCT